AAATCTACAAAATATTATAACAACTAAGGCAGAACGGTTTTAAATATACATCTGCAAAATATTATAACAAATCAGGTGAACAAGTTTTAAATCAATTATTAACTGAAGTATTAAGATTAATCAGATTATTAAAATAGGAAAACCCTGAAATTTTCAAGTCTTGAATCTAGCTATTATTATTATTATTATTATTATCTTTTGATTTCTGGTGTGTACATATTTCTTTCCGGGTCCCGCCCAGAGGCCTAAGTTTAGAAATTGCATCATGACATTTTCCACTGACCAATTAAAAAAAAAACAGTCACACATATATTTTACATAGATAAAACCCTTTGTAAAGTGTGGGCTTTAATCGTGAGAACAATTTTTTGTATTTCTTTAAGTCATGGGCTTCCAGGAATCCCTGCAATGAGTCTACTGAAATCTTTTCCAATCAATCCGAGGGCTCCAACTATAACAGGGATTGTTGATGTTTCCATGTGTCACATTTTTTAGATTATTATTATTATTATTATTACTTTCTTTGATTTCTGGCGTTTACACATTTCTTTCTGGGTCCCGCCCAGGGACCTAAGATTAGAAATGGCGTTATGACACTTTCCACTGACAAAAAAAAAAAAATTAAATTACATAGATAAAGCCCTTCGTAAGGTGTGGGCTGTACTTGTCAGAACAATTTTTTGTATCTCCTTAAGGCATAGACTTCCAGGAATCCCTTCAATTAGTCTACTGCAATCTTTTCCAACCAGTCCTAGGGCTACAACTACAACGGGGATTGTTGATGTTCCCATATGCCACATTTTCGAGATTTCTATTTCAAGGTCCTTGTATTTTGACAACTTTTTGAATATCTTCAAAGATACATTGCAGTCAGCAGGGACTGCCATATCAATAAGGAGGCACCGTTTTTGTTTGCGGTCTTTAAATAACAATATATGGCCAGTTGGCCTTGATTGTTCTGTCAGTGTGTATTGTGTAGTCCCATAGAATTGTAACAGGTCCTATCTCCGTAACCGGGTCTGGGTGGTGTTCATACCAGTTTCTTTCAGTTTCCTTCCCGTAGAAGTTGCAGATTTTCCAGTGCAGATATTGGCCCACTCTCTCATACCGGGTTTTATATTCAGTGGGTGCCAATATCGTGAAACCTGATACAAGATGATCAATCGTTTCTGGATATTTATCACAGAATCTGCATTTTGGTCTGACACAATATTTTAGTATATGTGCTTGATAATTCCTAGTTAGCAAGCATTGGTCCTGCGCAGCAACGATAAAACCTTCAGTTTCCGCTTTCAACCCTGCACTACGTAGCCACTGATGGGTACGGGTTTTGTCTACGTAAGCTTGTTTGGTACGGGCAGAGTATTGGCCATGAAGCGGTTTATCTTGCCATCGCTTCTGTAACTGGTCGGTTGCATTCGTCTTTGCTGTCTTTTTTAGGTATTTTGCAGTTTCAGCCGGTGTATTGTGCTGTAGTTGCATCTCTACGCCCATTTGAAACTCCATTTTGAATTTGTTGGTTTCTTTCATTACGCAGTAGAGACGCTTACTACTTTCATGTTCCTTGACGCATACCATCATCCAGTCTTCTGTAGTTTCCAAATATCTTTGGGGGCCAATTGTTGTAGTTTTGTAGGACAGTTCTAGTTGAAGTAATCCTCTGCCTCCTTCGGATCTGGGCACATACAGACGATCAACATCAGATTTGGGAGGATGCATGCGATCGATAACAAGTGCGAAGCTTTCTCGTTTTGGCGTCCATTCGCTTAATTTCAGCTATGGTCCAGTTAAGGACATTAAAGCTGTATTGCACCACAGGGACAGCCAATGTGTTTATGGCTGATATTCTGTTTTTTGAGTTTAGCTCAGTATTTAGTACCAGGCGTACACGCCTGTAGTACGCTTTTCTTATTTTTTCCTTCATTTGGGGGGGGGGTTGTATGCCATCTCCTTCGCTAATTCCTAGGTACTTATAAGCTTCATCATGCTCCAGTTCCCTAATCTTTGTGACAAAATCTAAATCTATTAAGGGTGTTTCTGTAATTCTACCTTTCTTGAATGTAACTTTTGCACATTTATCTAATCCGAAGTCCATACCTATGTCGTCACTGAAGTATTTTACAATATTGAGAAGGCCTTTCAACTCATTGTCGTCTTTGGCAAAGAGTTTGAGATCATCCATGTAGAGTAGGTGATTGAATATTTTCTTATTTATTTTGTAACCATAGCTACTGTTGTTCAGTTCATGTGTAAGAGAGATTAAGGATAAACAAAACAGAAGGGGTGACAGAGAATCTCCTTGAAAGATTCCACGTCGGATATTCAGACGGTTGGATATGGCAGTGCCCCCGGTGTGACTAAGGTATAGTTTGGTGTTCCATATTCCCATGCTGTGCTTAAGGAAATTTAATACCACAAGGGAGACTGTCTATATTTCTGAGATGAGGTATTATGTACAGTATTTACATTAGTCGGACTATTGTCCTCATCTTTGTCGCCATATTTGTCACAACGTTTCGGCCGTTGTCGCTCCGGCCTTCTTCAAACACGGCACGTGGAACTAGAACAGTCTACCCCAGTGATCGAAATAAAGGGTTCAGTTCGAAATTCCTACCACCTGAAGAAGGCCGGAGCGTACAACGGCCGAAACGACAAATATGGCGACAAAGATGAGGACAATAGTCCGACTAATGTAAATACTGCACAAGGGAGACTTTGTACATTTCCAAAGTCTTAAGGATCCAAGAATGTGGAACACTATCAAAGGCTTTACGATAATCAATCCACGCTGCACTAAGATTTCTGCGTCGTCTTCTGCAATTTTTCAGGATCATTTTATTTATCAGAAGTTGATCCTTGCAGCCATATGAACCTCTTCTGCATCCCTTCTGTTCCAGTGGGAGAATGTTGTTTGTTTCGAAAAAGGAATAAGTACGGTTCGTCAGTACAGACGTGATCAATTTATACGTTGTGGAGAGACATGTTATCGGTCTATAATTTTTCGGGTCGTCTGTTTCAGTTGTTTTTGGTAGGAGGTGTGTAATAGCATTCCGGGATTTTATTGGGAATATTTACAAGCGTTGATAATGTTTTTGCAAGAATTTCATGGGTAGATGAGAGATGATACAGCCAGAAATTGGGCAACTTGTCATTTCCTGGGGATTTCCATTTTTGGGATTTCGTTAGAGCTTGCCTAACATCATCTGTGGATATATTTTCCCATTCTTGCATAGGTGTATCTAGCAGTCGTTCTTCTTCACGCCGTATCCATTCTGCATTTGGGTTATATTCCTTTGGGCTGCTCCAAATATTTTCACAAAATGTCTGTACATTATCAATCGATGGTGGCCTTTCGACATGTATAGGTGTTTTCCAATTTCCCTGTAAAATTTCTTAAGATCTGTTCGAATATTTTATTTTGGCGATAGAACCTACAACGTTTTTCGTATCGTCTTGTTCTCTGCGCCTTTAGCGGAAGTTTCTGCTTCAGCATTTCCTTGATTGATGGAATATCAATTAGGGATTTAATATTATATTTCCGCTTGATCTTTTGCATTTACGTGGGAAATATTAGAGTTTCTGGTGAGCTCATCTAATATAGAAAGCTCACATCTGATTTGTTTTATTTCTCGAATCAGTTTGGTTTTCCAAGCTGGTTCTCTGTGTCTGTTAATTTTATTTATTGTCTTGACTCCAAGCTTCCGAGTCGCTGCTAAAGCTGTGGCGTATATGACGTTGTTAACTTCTGTGATGTTTCCCGGTGGTTTATCTCTTAACAGTGTTTCCAGAGCAGCATTGTATATTTTCACGATGTGCTTGTTGGAATTCGTCATATGGATTTTCGGGAGCTGGTCTCTGTCTGACAATTGTATGAAAGTTACTCTGCTAAGTACTTGGATGACGTCATTTTTCGCTTCGGTGATTTCAGCTTCGTGGTTTTCAAGGAATTCTAACTTATTGTCACTGAAGATGACTCCAGGTACATTTTCTGGAGAACTGCAGGTTGTGTTTAAGGTAGAGTCTTGGGTTTCATTTCCTGGGAGATTATTACGTATTTCATTCGCTTTAGCGTCCACCTCATCCTCTGTTGCATTCCTTATTTCTACATTCGTCTCAATAGAGTTTGAGTGATGGGTCATAGTATTTTGTTTTATATCTAATTTTATCTATCTATTTCTGCCTTTGAGAGTCTGTTGTTTCGCATGATGTCCCTATGGACATTGGCAAGCATGTCTGGATTGAGGTTAGGTCTTATATCAATACCCACCGTACTTCTCCATATTTGGTATGTTTGATTGGTGGTGTTCTTTGCTGGGTTTTCGAGTGCAGTGAAGAAGGATGTCATGACTTGTCGATACTCTTCACGGCTCCATTTCGTTCGTTTACTTTTTATTAATCTATTTGGTATTGAGTCGCTTGGTCCAAGGTTGGCAATAATCCGGGTTTGGTGACCTAGTGTCTCTTCGTGTGTGGAAGAGTTTGTTCCAGTGACAGACTTTTCGTCCTCAGACTGGTTCCTCTCTGAGGGACGCGGTCCTTGTTGTCCCGGTTGACGGCCGATCCGGTATGAAATATTATTCGTATTCACTGAAATTGGTAGAGATGCGTTTTAACCTTGACCGCCAAGTGGTAATTATGTTCAGGTTACCAGCTTTAGGACGAGTCTCGAAGAAGATCCAAGAGCACGCCCCGAAAAAAATGAGATTGTGGATTTATTAATATAACGAAGATAGAATAGTTCATAAGAGTGTATGGTATTCAGTGGGGTAGACGATACTAAATTTTAACTTAGTATAATTATTATTATTATTATTATTATTATTATTTCTGATTAAGCAACGTCGAAACTAACGGAAACCACGGAATTTTATCTGTAGATTTGAATTATTGATAATATTTATTTCTGTAATTTTAGAGCAAATGTGGCACAAGGCCTAAACGTAGATGAGCTGGGCTTTTAACCTTCATACTCACATTTACTGACAAAATCGCAAGAGAGCTTACGGCCATATCACTTTGAAGCACTGTTCCCGTACGATCACCAAATTAAGCAACGTCGAGCCTGGTCAGTACCTAAATGGGTGACCACTCGGGAATACGATAGTGTAAGGTTGGATGTGCGGATGGTGTAATGGATCACAACTCGGAATTGGAAATCAGAGAACCGAGTTCCAATTCCAGTTGGATTTGTTATATTCACTTGCGCACAAATACACTTGGAAAAAGTATGAATCCATCTCGTCTCCCCAAGCTATGGGTTAATTAGTAGGACTTGTATCAGTAAATGATTGCGATCTAAAAAATTCCTTACAATTTAATCAAAATATTTCTGGCATTAAATAGCCTGAAAAAGGTTGACATGCCGTAAAAAAAAAACATTATTTCCGATTCTGACTATGTTGCTTTACACGTAATTAAACAGAATGGTATTTTCAAGATGTTTCAAAAGAAGGTCTCTCAGGAATTGAACAGAGAAATGCAACAGGGCGGTATAATTACTGATGCAGAATTGGAGTAGAGCTTAAGCAATAATACCCAATACGAGTCCGAAAAAAATGTTCGAATTAGGGTCGAATTCATTACATTCTCTATATTCTCTCTTTCCCTCAATCCGTCCTGTGAGTATCAAAGTTACCAAGCCCACCTTCCTCATAACGTGCCCCAGATATTTCAACTGCATCTTCCTGGGGTTAAGTATAAGTTTCCTTTTTGTTTCCATTCTCTCCAAAACCACGTCGTTGGTCACATGTTCGGTCCATGGTATCCTCAGTATTTTTCTATAAAACCACATTCCAGTTATTTCAAGTCTCTTGTTCATCTTTGAGGAAATTGTCCAGCATTCGCTGCCATACAAGAGGACATATATCCCATAATAGTTCAGTACTCATTCCTTGGTTTCTAACAAAATTGTTGTCTAAATACTTTGCTTAGCTTTTGGAATGCACCTTTGACCATCCCAATACGTCTTCGAGTCTCAGTGTCGTACTTTTCGTCTTCTGTTAGAACGCTTCCCAGATATTTAAATGTTTGTATTTGTTTAATTTTAGCATCTCCTGCTTGTAGTTTGTATTTTGGGTGCTTACTTTTGGTGATAACCATGCATTCTGTCTTCTTAGAGTTTATTCTTTGTTCTTTCTTTTCGCTTTCTTACGCTACCTTCTGTAGGAAATTTTGTAGTTTTCTTTCTATGTCTGCTACGAACATCTGCATCGTAAATTTCACTTCCGATGACGAAGCTACGGTGGCGTGCAAAACCTTTGGGCGACCATTGTAAAATGATTACTTTTGTTAATTTCACACCAACATCGGAAGTGTGATCAGCAGTATTCTTTTCTCGCTGCATCTTATTATCGCTGAGGACCAGAGAACAAGTTACCGCATTTTCGATAATGCTCTATGGAGGATGATAAAGCATCTTAAGAATAGGGATGTTGAAAATGGCCATACAAAAATACTGGGCCACCAAAGAAAATATCACGTTTCAGCTCTTTTCTTACTTCAAAGGGGAATTATTTAGGACAAAAAGTGATCTTTATTATTACAGAAAGAACAAAAACTCAGAGAATAGAGTTAGTAATTAGCGTTGCTGCCTTTTGGTTCGAATAATTGCCTCAATTCCATGTGAAGTTGAATGGAACAAATCCAGATATTTCTCATTGGGAATTCTTTCACATTCTTCTTGGCAGTAAACACAAAGCTCTTGGAAATTGTGTTGTTTTCGTTGGAGCACTTCTTTCTTCACTTCCCACCATAATGGTTCAGTTATATTGAAATCAGTTCACATTGCTGGCCATTCTGTCAAAAGTTTTACATCTGTATCCGCAAGAAACGTTTTTTGCTACAAGTGATGTGTGGCTAAGATCACCGACATTCTGAAAAAAAAATCTTCCGTCTTCCTAGTCTCGCAGAAGATTAGACGGTAGTAAACAAATATTGTTGTTCACCCTAGGTTTCCATCGACTTTTACCAATATTCTTCTGACATCGATTTTGATGCAACCCTACGCTATTACGTGTACACCACCAAATTTTACTGTCTTTGTAGTATATCTTGCATATTTTTTTCTTTCTCCCACTGTTCTTAAATATTCGATTTTGTAATCATCACTAAAAAAATGTCTTTTTTTTCCGCTTTTCAACATACCACGTTAGATGTTTTTTTACATTGTAAAAAAAACATACCCAAGTACTGATTGCGGGGGTGACCACCTTCCAATGATGTATAACCTTATTTTGAAATTACGAAAATTAAAGGGAGCCAAGACAACACCAAAATTGCAATACAACAGTAATGACCCGAATTTGAGAGAGAGATATTGACAGTCATTCTTTATCTAACATTGTTTTTTCCTTCTTTCTCAAGCAAATATTCAAAAATGAACGAGATGGTTGAAAAGGAGATTGCGTTAACTGAAGTGAAATTACACACAGCCTTCCTAAACAGAGCTATCAACATTTTTTAAACAATGAAGCCACTCTCGAGGTCCACACAAACACACACAAAAAAAACAACAATAAATTGGGGGGTCCACGCGTAATATTTTAGTGGTCCATAGAGCCATTTCACTTCGGAACGGTTGTTACAACCGAGAATTGAAATTTCTACAGTAATATACGCCATATTAAAGTACTAAAAATAGAAAAATAACTCAAGCGATGTAAGTTTATATGTACAGTGTAACCCGGATATAAGAGAGTTGTCGGGACCGGAGAAGAAGTCTCTTATATCCGGGTTTGGTCTAATTTATATACAGTGTAACCCGGATATAAGAGCCCCGGATATAAGAGCCCCGGATATAAGAGAGATTTTCTCTGATCCCAAATTAGAGCCTGTGTTAATGTATATAAAATACACCAAACCCGGATATAAGAGAAACCCGGATATAAGAGAAACCCGGATATAAGAGACTTCTTCTCCGGTCCCGACAACTCTCTTATATCCGGGTTACACTGTACATTAACACAGGCTCTGATTTGGGACCAGAGAAAATCTCTCTTATATCCGGGTTTCTCTTATATCCGGGTCTCTTATATCCGGGTTACACTGTATCTTTTTTACTCTCCCGGATGATTTGATTGTAAAAGTTGAATAAAACTAAGAAGGATAATTAAAGGAAGGATTATTTATATAAAGGAAAATTATATATAAGGATCATAATTTATTACATAAATTAATTTAAAATATTAATAATAAATAATAATATTAATGTTAAATATTAATAAAATGAAATATTAATATAAATTAATTAATATAAAATATAAAATATTAAATAAAATCTTAATAATAAAATTAATTTAATATATAAATTATATAAGGATTGTATATAAATGAAGGATTAGCCATATTAACCTCTTTTAGCAGCAGGGGCAATTTCCGGTAAAACTATAGAATTTAGTTGTTACATACAGGTTTATTTTCATTAAATTAGTTTTACTTCAAAATAAAGCACATATATATACATTTACTATTTCTATAATGCCATTCTTAAACTTATCTATTAGTGAAAAATAAAATAAACTTTTTTTTCATCGAATGCTCATAGGGGTCCATCAAAAAACTTAAGAGTAAAAGTAATTCATGGGTACAAAAAAAAAAATGTTGAGAACCACTACACTAGCCGGAAGTAAGAGTTGCCTCCCCTGTTCCCCTCCGGTAGTTTCAACAGGTAACTTAATTACAGGTGTACCTTTCAAAATGGACGACAGGCGTTGGTCATGTCCCATTGCTAAATGTGTGTGCTGCTTTTCGTGATTGTTATTTAGTTTGGTTAATTCAGCAGGTTTTGTTTTTAAATCTTCAAGGTATTCGGTTTTTTAACATTTTTTGAACATGATGGGAAACTGGACAGTGTCTTTCTTTTCGCTGGTCATATTTGTGGCAATCACCCGCATAAAAGGTGAGTTATTTGTTATTATGGTCGAATAGGACGAAAACATGACGAATGTTGTTTTTATTTATTTTTTCGCTTGTATCGTTTCAAGAGTTGTTTTTTTTCTTCTTTAATCCCTTACACATAAAAAACAAATAATTTAAATTTGCATAACATTTTTTTTTTATTAATTGATATAGAAGTTTCTTCGGTCGCTTTTTGTTTTGTTTTTTTTTTTTAACTTTTAGTTTTGTATTTTTGTATATCTGTGATTTCATTTGAGACCGTGTTTCGTGTCATTTCCGTTTAAAAACTTTATATATTTTTCTAGGTGTAGAAAAAAAAACTCGGGTAAGCAACACCAGGAAAAAATGCTGTACAAAAAAAATAAAAATAAAATATATTTTTTCTTGGATTTGTTGGAGAAGGGTTCATTCGACAAAAAAAAAAAAAAAAAAAACGTTTATGATATCGGACAAGCTTGGGAAAACAGTAGTAACGCTCACTTAAGAAAAACAACAATAGCCTATAATATATATAAACAATTTTAGTGGGTGGGGAGTATGATAAAGATGAAAATGTTTTCGTACGACGGGTTTTCGTCCGTTAGGGATTTCTTTATTATCACCCTAAACGACGAAACAAATCACACGGTGTCTTTCCACTTTTTGTCATACATTTTGCCCTAAAATTGTTATTATTATTTACTAAAAACGTTATTGAATCATTGACATTTTTGTTTTGTTTTGTTTTTTTTTATACTAAAGAAATGAATTAAATTTCCGAAACAACCGAAAACAAACGACAATTAATATAGGGCCTAAAAGCCCTAACCGGAAACTTGCTATAGGAAATTCAATTATTACGTTAAAAAAAAAAAAAAAACTGATAAACCTTCTATGTACGGTGTCCTTTTGAAGATATGGATGGTCATGGCGTGCCACAAATTCCTATTCTTTGTTTCTCTTTATGCTACATCCCTCTTCTTAATTCCTGTTTTGATAACAAGCTCGCTGAGTAGGTTATACGCTGCCCTCCTCTAGCTTTCAATCTATCTTGTGAATGTCAAATTCCCCAAGCCCTCTTTCCTTATTATATGCCCTAAACATTTCAACTGTCTCTTTCTGATTTTAAGTATAAGTGTCCTTTTGTTTCCATTTTCCTTGAAACTTCCTTGTAACCTACATATTCTGTCCATAATGTTCCCCCCCTCTTTTTTTTTTTTTTTTTTAGAGCAACATCTTTGTGACTCAAGTCTCCTCCTCATCTTTGAGCAGATTGTTCCGCATTCATTGTCATATGGGAGTGGTGATATTAAATAACAATTCAGTATTCTTTCCTTTGTCTCTAATGAAATTTTAAATACTTTGCTTAACTTTCTTGGTTCCAATGTGGATTCAGATTTTGGTCGGGCGATAAATTACTACTGCTTTTCCCAACTGTGCCCGGTAAACGTGAGTCGGGCCAAAAATACGGCCTGCCATATTTAATAAACAATGATAATTACACACACTCACAGGAACATTGTTCTCGAACTTTGGAATGTTTGAAAACAATCGGAAATGATAATACAATCAAATAAATTTAAATTAATTAACGTAGAAAATTTTATTAGATTTTTACTTTAACAGTTCCATTGGGCCGAGTTTTGGTGACCCAATTTTTCCGTTTTCCTCGTTAAATGAAAACAAATTCAAATATTTCACTCAGAGGCTTGTGTTAGCTAAATCGCCATTTTTTTTCTTCTTCTTCACACCAATGTCAAAGCCCACATAAGAATAAAGATTTTTCTTATCCAGTGTTATGGATACTGCTCCTAGTTTGACTAAAAGAAGTGGTGTGGCGGACCGGGGGTTTACGTGTTGTTAAATTAGAAACACGTGTGTTTATTCCTGCTAGAAGAAGGTCCGACTACAAAAACATGGCGGACTTAGAGATTGAATCCACCATAAAGAAGTCTAAAGAAAACCAACAAGACCGAGATTATATATATATATATATATATATATATATAGAGAGAGAGAGAGAGATTAGTTATTACCAAAATTTCGCTTGAAGATGAAACAGCTTGATACTTTAATTTAATTGTAATAATTATATTGAAGTTTTCAGCTCTTGTTTTTGAAACATGAGAACTCTTATGTAGCAAAGGAATCGTATTTTAAAAAAAAATAATTTTATATATATATAAACAAGTATATGTATTAAACAACAAAATATACGATGGACATAGACATTAACGTTTGTGCGTGAACGTAAAGCGTTTGTATTTTGGTGAATGTTCGTACGTACGTGTGTGTGTTTCATGGCATTTTCCCACAAATGGGCAAAAACGCTGATCTCTGTGAGAGATCACATTTTGCAAATGTGTCCGCTTAAATGAAAAGTGAAAAAGAGAACGAGGCAGTATTTATAGTATAGGGAGAGCGATCCCCTAGTGAACGATTAGGAAATTAAGGAGGAGTTAACTCTAACAGTGGCAAGCAATATTTTCACATGTAAATGACGGACAGATAATCATAACATTGTTTTAAATAACCATAATGTATTTTCACAAAAAAATTACAATTGTTGGAAACAGTAAATAAATGTGTGTGAATGCTGGACAATCTCCTCCTTGAAGTAACTGAAATTTAGTTCTACATAAGGATGATGATAACACAACCAAACATGTGAGCAACGACGAAGTTTTAGAGAAAATGCAAACAAAAAGTGCACTTATACTTAACATTAGGAAGAGACCGTTGAAATTTCTGGGGAACATAATGAGGAAAGAGGGTTTGGAGAATTTGATACTCATAGGACAAATTGAAGACAAAAGGGAGAGAGGAAAACATCCTACCTATCGAGCTTGAGTAAATGAATGGCAGAACAAGGTTCATGAGAGATAACAAAAGGACACAATTTATTAAGGGCTATTGGAAAGTGTTGAGAGCCCTGATCGCCAACGTCTTGAAGGGAGACAGCACACAAAAGAAAGAGTGCTTGGCAGTTGTGTGTGTAAGTTTAGTCGCTAGGGGGGGGGACCTCCCCAGTGAAGATGAAGGTCGTGTTAGTGCTGCTACCTACTGCATGCTAGGTTGAAAAGAAGAAAGAGGAAGCTAGTGCTCTGTATTTTGTAGTCCTTAAAAAACACCACCAAACAGTGTCTTGGCAGACCAAGTGAAAATAATCCCCTGAAAGTCATTGAAACTCTCCCCCACCCAAATTATTATACCGCATTTCTACCTATCAAATACCACGCTAAATTTAATTATTTTTTTGTAGTAATAAACAAAACGTTATTTTGTTTTACAAAGCAAAAACTCCGACTTAAGGCATTAAAACTCTTAGTTTTCTCTTATTACTTTTGTATGTCATTCCAAACACAACATTACAAGGAAGAAAGATGTTTCCAATTTACTACAATTTCAAGAATCGATAATATTAAACAGGATATAAATCCGTGTTGATTAGATGCCAAAAATAATAAAATTTGTAGTCTTTCAATCTTATAAATTTCACTCTTAAGCAAGGCAATAAAGTCACTAAGACTCAAGTGGTTATTAAGGAAATAGGACAATTAAAGAACAGGAATTAAGGAAACAAAAGATAATGATTGACATTGCATTTAAATTTTGAAAAATCAAATTTCGCTGGAAAGCATGAAACCGGAAGAGTTCCACAAATGAGAAGTGCGAGAAAAGAAACTGTTAGCATATAAATGACGGTTGCATCTAGCCATTTCAGTTGTAAATGGAGGACACCTTGCTGCCTGTCTCGTACTGTGCTTAAATTGTTAAAATCTTAAAGAATGTGACTGAAGAAGAGATGCCAGGTCAGAACCAATAATGTTGCAGATTCTTTTTATCAAGATTCTCTAAATGTATAGCATCAGACTAGATGTATACTGTAATACATAATGTAACACCTGATCACACACATGCTATGCATCCAGACTCCACTTATTTGAGCTGTAAAAAATAAAATGAAAAAAAGAAGAAACAACCATTTTGCAACTGGAGTAATTAGGCATTTACTCTCTTCTCGGCACCAAAAGTTAAGTTTTAACATAACCCGTATATACTCGCGGATAGATTACGCCCTTAGTTTGGGGTTTTCAAAGTGGCTATTTGAGGTTGACTCGCAGATAGATCGCACTATTATCTGTGGGCTTACATGGCCTATTTGTTTTTTTTTTAATGCAAATATAAGCAATATTTGTTAAATATTTTCAAATATTCACCTTTATTTCAAAACTTTGCTTACATATGTTAAAACATAAGTGTTTATTCATTTAACATCAGAAAGAGATAGTTAGGCACTTAATAGTTTGGAAAATTTAACACTGACAGGACATATTGAAAGGGACAGAAAAAAGCAGCACATAACTTACCTAATGGGTTTGTGTAAATGGATGGCAGAACAGGGATTAGGAGAGATAGTGTTGTAGAGTAGTTTTCACAGTGGAGGCTTGTATTTTAATAAGTCGGTCCTGACAGGGTCCGACGTGCAAAACGTTAGGAAATTGAAATAATAATTAATGACGCAGCAATCTAGTTGGAGTGGTCGATACTTCAATGTCCGACATCGACTGACTCACTCAACACAACTGAGCTCAACTGGCGACCGCTACTATCACTTATTATGTGTGGGAGAGTCTATTAATAATAGAATAGGTACGTTCAGGTATGACAGATAGCTAAAAGACAAACTTTACTAAAAGCTATAAAGGACAGGAAATTGTGGAGAGCCATGTCCTCAAGGGCATGGCCCATAGAAGAAATAGATTTTTTTTCTTTTTATAATGTTTTAGAATTTGGAATTCATCAGGACTGAAACCTTAAAAATTCATCATCAGTGTCAAACATTCTTTTCATTTGCATTTACTAATCAAGTGCGGGGCTAATCTGTTTAGACGAAAATTTGGATACTGATAATCACTTGAGCCCTAAAATCACTTGAAAATGATCGTTTTTCATTGTAAATCAAATAATAAATGGTAAATAAAAGCAGTGCGGATCGAGCGCTTTTATTTAATGTGTGAA